CATTTGACTTGTCGCTTCTTATGTCGTTGGATGACATAGGGAATTTCTAATTCATACACCTCTTTCTTCTGATGTTTTTCTTCGTAGGCTTCTAAAGCTTGTCTGGCAATTTCATCTTTTTCTGGGACATCTATGAACCAGGTTTTCCACTTCTTGGTTCTTTCTTCATACTGTGGGTCTTTCTTTCTTGTTGTGGTCGGTTTCCATTCGGGGTGATACTTAGTCCAATCACTCCCTACATTTCCGTATATCACGTTCTTGTCGACTACATCTCCATTTGGTTTCAGTTGTGTGCCTTTCTTGTACCAGGCATAAGCATCATCTACTTCATCGTAACCTCGGCCATGTTGGTAATGAGATGCACAGCTGTCGCTGTGTGCAGTATATTTGAAACTGTCATATTTTGCTTTGGCCTCGGCATATTTTACTTGTTCATAATATCGATTATGACATCTGATACATGGTTCTGGATCTTCATCTACATCGTCCGGTACAAATCTCTTCATGCACTGGAATTCTTTCGGTCCGTCTGAGCACTTCCAATTTGGATTATAATCAACCTCCATGGCATCGAGCTCCTGGGGTTGATCAAGATCCATCTGCTCTATTACACTTACCATCCGTATCTGTAGCTGTTTCTTCTCGACTAGTGGTATGACTTCTTGGTACTCTTTTGTTTTCGTTAGAATCAGTTGTTGTCTGGGAAGGTCTAACATTGCTCCATATTTAATTAGGAAATTCGTTCCTAATATTATATCTGCCACTGTTGCTTCTGTTATGCACGCATTTAAATTCCATACTAGTCCATTTTTCTGGAATCGTAAAGGTAATTCTTTCACTTCTCCTTGTGGTTTCTCTAAATGACCGGTTACTCCTTGAATCTTGTACATCGCTTCTTCTACTAAAGGCCTTTTCTTCATTTTTCTTGCTATTTTATCAAAGAACTTAGCTGAAATAATGGTGACTGAGGATCCGGTATCGACCAAAATCCTACTCTCCTCTTCCTCCACAAAGGCTATACAATATGTAGGTCCTGATATGTCAGTGACTCCATACTGCCTTGTGCCTTGTGAGGGTCTTTCAAGTGTGCCACTGCCAGTGCCCTCTACTGACGTGGCTGGCCTTTTCCCTGTCTCGCATTTCCCTGGGGTTTTCTTGGTACAGCCCAGGTAAGTGGTCGTCCTTGCTTAAGATGCAAAGCCTTGATTCTGCATTCTGCCTGTCTATGTCCCATTCTTCCGCAATAAAAGCATTGGAGATTTAATATTGGTTGTCTGGTTCGTTGTGGCTGAAATGGTGTTCTTGGCTTTCTTTCGAAACTATCCAATCTCTCCTTAAGCTGTTTAATCTCTCCAGCCATAGCCTCGTTAATTTCCACTGATGAAGAGGGCTGCATTTCTTCTCTGATTGCTCTATAATGGATTTTTGCTGTTTGCACAGCTGCATTTAGATCTGCCGGTGATGTCTGTTTGACTGACATTCTTATGGCAGGAGTTAATCCATTTAGGAATATTCGGAGTTTCTGTCTGGCTGGCAAGTCAGCCGGATCGCATTCTTGCCAAATTTTCTCTAGGGCTGCTCGATAGGAGTCAATATTTTCTCCTGACATTTGAGTTTGCTTACTAGCTAATTCCATAGCTTCTGCCTTGGTATCTTCATTAAAGAATTCGGCAATGAAATATTGCTTAAATCCTTCATGTCCTTGATTGGCATTATCCCATTCTGTTATTTGTGGGTTGTGTAGTCCGGCCCATTCTTGGAATGATCCCATATGGTATGCTGCGATGCCGATTCGTTTATCATGAGCATCGTCGCGGACTCCGTTTGCTTTAAATGCTCTTTCGATCTGAGCAAGCCATGACTTAGGGTTAACTCCGTTAAAGGTTGGATAAGGTACAGCAGTGGACATTTCTTCTTCGTCTTGTTGCTGAGGTTGGACAACTACTGGTGGATGACCTTGTTGAGGCTGAGGCAGAGGCGGGTTTGCTGCTGGAACTGGGAATTGTATTATTTGCGGGACTGGTAGTTGTAATTTCTGTGGGACTGGCTTGTTATTATTTTCAGTTTCTTCCTGGTTTTCTGTAACGGTGACCGGTAATTCTAGATCGGTTGGAATATCTTTTGGAGTGCCTATTGGTGTTCCTGGGGGTGTGACTACTAATTTATATTTTCGTATGATTTTGTCGATTGATTGTGTTATCTCGTCGACTTGTGCAGGTGACTGATTTGGAGTTTGAAACGCGTCTTCTCCGGATTCGCTTCCTGGGGTTGGACTAAAGCTTGATCGGGATTTTTTCTGTGCGTAAAAATATTTCCCAATGAATTCTGCAGCTTTACTTCTTTGTTCTTTTTGTGAGGAGGATTGTTCCGCTTGGCTTGTGCTGACAACTTTTCCTTTTGCCTTGGCGGAATTGATATAGTTTTTAACTCCTTCGTATAAGGGCGCTAAATCTTTATTTTCTAAATGCGGTTCTGCTTCAAATAGTGGTATATGGAATGTGTCGTCTGAAGCAAGTAGTGAGATTACTAATTTTTCTGGATCGACTGGTGGGGCTAGAAATCCAATAGTTTTGAATAATTCAAGCGTATTTTCTCGCGTTTTCTCTTGTCGAAATTGTTCGAACGCGTCGATTGTATATTGTGATACGCAACAATCGAGGTGTGCTAACGCGTCGAAAAAATGCTGAAATTCGTCGGTTCCTGAACTAATAGTATAACAATCGGCACAGGCTTTACTTCCAAATTTTTCAAATACTAATTGTTTAAACTGAGATTCTTCCGGTAGTAACTGGTGTGCAAAGTGATGTCGGATGTATGAACGGCGATTTTTAAGAATTTGTTCTTTAAGTGTCTCTGGGCGTCGATTTGATGCCACGATTGCTGATTATCTGTAGGTCGTGTTTTGTTGTTTTCTCGGTGTGGTTGAGATCCACGGAATCCCCACCAAATGTCGAGCCAATACTCGGGGGAGAGCGGAACGAATATTGACCTTGGGATTTAGTCTTTTTCC